AGGTTTCAGTGAGGTCTTTCTCTTTTAAATCTCTGGGACCTTTTGAGCCTGCTTGATCTTAATTCTTTGCCCATGCACAGCTTTATGTTCAACAAGAAACTGCATTGTCAAGTACATGGTAGTATTTAGCCATATTGTGGCTATTGAGAGCTTGATTTGTGGTTAGTTTGCATTTAAATATGCCCTACGTGTAAAACACACTGAATCTCAGGCACTATTGTGGGGAAAAAAAGAATGTAAAATACCTGTTTTTTTTTTTTTTTTTAATGTCAGTCCTGTCCTGAAATAATATTTTGAGCATATTGGATTAAATGAATTATGTTAAAATTGGTTTTACCTGCTTCATTTTCCTTTACAATGTGGTTAGAAAATTTTATATTCTATTTTAGATTCATGCTGTTTCTTTTAGACAGAGCTGCTCTGGAACCCTTTCTTCAGATTTCAGGAGTGCTTTTTCTTCTTGAGCTCTGTGTTCTCAGCTCCTCTGCCCTACAAATTCCCATTACCTCAGCCTCCCTAAATTTCAGCATCTGTCTCTTTTACTCACTGAGTCCACCATATTTTGCTTGGCCTCCCGTTCCTGCATTGCCCTCCTGACTGCATAAAGAGTATGTAGGGGATACTTTTCTATTTTCTCAGGTATCACAGTGCTCAGCTAGCTGTTTGGTGTCCAATGTTTTAAAATGATAACTTTATATATTTGAATAGTTTTCTAGTTGAGTTTGTTGGAAGAGCATGTCTGGTATTTAGTTACTACATCATAGCTGGTACCAAAACTCTTTTTAAGGCATGAGTAGTTTGATGCCTGTGTGTCAGAGCTGTCCCTCCCTTGAATTAAAAAAACACCATTGCTGGTTAACCTAAGTTTTTATTATAAAACAGAATTAGAATTTGAGCAAATTTGCACCTTTTATTGTGTTTAATTTAAAATTAAATTTTAATTTTTAATTTTAAAATTTTAAAATTAAAAATTAAAAAAAATTTCTTTGGCCTGTTTTAATTTTTCTTTTAATCTGGATTGATTTTAAAGCTGTTTGTTTTCATTTTTTTTTTTTTTAAGATTTTATTTACTTGTTCATGAGAGACACAGAGAGAGAGAGAGGCAGAGACACAGGCAGAGGGAGAAGCAGGCTCCATGCAGGGAGCCCGACGTGGGACTCGATCCCAGGTCTCCAGGATCAGGCCCTGGGCTGAAGGCAGGCGCTAAACTGCTGAGCCACACAGGGATCCCCAAAGCTGTTTGTTTTCATATAGAAACCTCTTTTCTTTGACACTGCATTGTGCTCAGGGCAGAGATATATCCAGTGAAATTTCAGGAAGTTCAAACATAAAGCAGAAATTTTCTTCATAATTATATTGAGTTCTTTTTATCAAGACTTGAAATGTTTAGGATTTTAGGTCCTTAAGACTTGAAACTAGAAATGTTAATACTACATCAGGCACTTTGTTTCATTTTGCTTTCTAATTTATTGGCATTCACTGTTTAAGCACATAATTAACAACCTAATATAGTGAGAGAAGGCATTAAGGGAGCAAATTATCTTGGGTCATTCAGGTCTTCAGTTATCAGCAGTTGTGTTAGTTAGGTGTTGTCTGTTTGCTTTGTAAAATGTAGTTGAGATATATGAAAAGAGGAGTTTGAATCCCAGTCATTTCATTTAACCCTTCTTACTAATATGGAAAATTGAAAGTTGATAGTAACTCGTGCCACAATGTAAACTATGATATTTGACGTTTAACTCTTATTGAAATGATACTGTCTTTAGTGTTTTCATTTGTTTCAGAGTACTTCTTCAAAAGTTTTAAAAAATGACTTAACCATATGGTTTTTATGATACTGCCTTGTCTAATTTTTAGTTCTGATAATTATCCTATCGAAACTTAAAACTTACTTTAAGAGTTATTGAGAAATTGTTAGTGTTTATCATTTTTGTTCACAGCAGGCACCCACCTGTTAATTGTCAGGATATCTGTCATACATAGGCATTGATGTACTGAAGCTACTTAAATGTATAGTCCTCTGAGACTGAGATTTGCTTTTCTGGCTTTTGAATCCATTGCTTTAGTGTGCATTCATATATATATATATATATATATATATATATATATATATATATATATATATGAATTTAATTCATTTAACAAAAGCATGAACTGATTGTGGTTGTGCATAGTTAAAAGCATGCCTGGGTTTGAATCCTGACTGTACCACTTTACTAACTTAGCTATGTGACCTTGGCAGGTACCTTCTTAGTATTTCCTTTTGAGGATAATAGTGAGATTATTGTTGGCTTTACCCCGTTGATGCATGTAAAACAGGATACTGATTAGCGTATGATAAATACTGCTGTGTACTTGCTCTCATTATTACCATCTTAACAGGTCTTTCTCAAATCTTAATCTCCCATGGTAATACTACTTTCTTGCTCTATTTTTTTTAAATTTTTTTTATTTATGATAGTCACACACACACAGAGAGAGAGAGAGAGAGGCAGAGACATAGGAAGAGGGAGAAGCAGGCTCCATGAACCGGGAGCCCGACGTGGGATTCGATCCCGGGTCTCCAGGATCGCGCCCTGGGCCAAAGGCAGGCGCTAAACCGCTGCGCCACCCAGGGATCCCTCTATTTTTTTTTTTTTTATTAAGGACTTTGTATAACCCGCTGTACATATTGCATATTCTTTATTCACTGTGTGTTGTAAGTTTTCCCTCCTAGAATGTAAGCTCCATGAGGTCAGCCATAGATTATAGGGATTTATCCCTAGCACCTAGAAGAGTATCTAGAATATATTGAATGCTTAGTGCTTATTTTCTGAATGTACTATATTGAATTCTACTCCAGATATTAACTTGATAGTGGGGATATAAAAATGAACAAAGTTCTTTCTCTAAGAAAAGCATATAGTACAGAAGAGACTCATACTTAAGAAAACTAAGAGTGATAATTTGCCCCTTCTTACCCCCCAGAAGTGATTGTGATAGTAAGAGTATTCCTGAGGCTGCTATCATGGAAGGTGCAATTAAACTGGGGAAGATTGTTTAAGAGATGGGGGAACATTGTTTCCAGCAGAGGTAAAAATGTGAACAGAATTACACAGTTTGACAGTTTGGGCAAATGGCTTATAGTCCAGTTTAACAACAATGTAGATTGATTAGAAGTAGGTGGGCCACTGGGTGGCTCACTTGGTTTAGCATCCCACTCATGATTTTGGCTCTGGTTATGATCTCAGGGTTGTGAGATCAGCCTGCATTGGGCTGCATACTGGATGTGGAGCCTGCTTAGGATTTTCTGTCTCCCTTCCCTCTGCCACCTCCCCAACTCTGGTTGTGCATACACATGCCTGCACTCTCTCTCTCTTAAAAAAAAAAAAAAAAAAAAGAGGGAGCGAGGAGGTTGGTTGTAACCAGATTTGGGAGTAATAGCAGTTAGAGGTACAGGTTGTCTAGCCTGGACAGAAGCAATGAGATTTGGAAGTTTAATATGTGAAATTTAATGATAACTGGATACAGCACCACCATTTTAGTTTTGGTTTTAGTTTGAAGGTGAGAGTATATTTCATGATTATTATAAAAGAGTTTGATTTTTAGTATATTTCCTCTTAGAAGACACTGTTTGAGAACTTTGTACAAAACACAAGTTGTCAGGTTAATTTATACAACTGAGAATGAATTTTTGATGTAAGAAAATAATACCAGGATGTATCAAATTTGTGTTAAATTGGTTATTTACTTGTAGGTCACATTGCTAAACTTTCTTTCTTGACACTGACACAAAGCTGGTGTTAAAATACATTTTGAGTTTTGTTTAGATTGAAAACCCATGAAATACAGTTTCACTTTGAATTATTGGATTTTAGAAGTTGGTAGTGAAATTATATTTAAGGAACTTTTCTACATTTCAGTATAATTAGATTAAAAACCAAATTCAGTTTTTAAGCTGTTTTTAACCTTGCAAAAAAAGCTTATTTGTGTGTACGTATGTCTTAAAGTTCAGGCTTTTAATACTTAATTCATTAATACAAAAATATTTGGTAGTTTGTGTTTTTTCCCCCCTCTAGAGGAGGTATTCATTTGAAATAGAAATAAAAGTACAATATCACAATAAGAAATATTGCTGAATCAGATTCAAAATTTCCATGGAAAAATTATTTTTATATGATGTAACAGATTTACTTAGGGGTTGGTAGAATTATCGAGTCATGCAGTTCTAAATTATTGGATTAATATGGTAATTGGTCCTGGCCAATCTGGGTGAGGAAGAGGGAGTGCTTTTACCATCTTTCCTTTTTATCTAAGTGCTTTGCTTCTATTCCAAGCAAACTGGATTATTCTTTATGTACTAATCCATTGGTTAGTATTCACCAGTGGTTTTTTTTTTTAATATGAATTATTGACATTGATCATTTTAATGTCCATTTTGGGCATTTTATGTTCATTATTTTCATGTCATTGTTCCCTATAAAAGATTGTAAAAGCTACAAGTATATACTTTGTATTTGAATACAAACATATTTTATGGCAATGAAAATCACTGACCCTTTGACAGTTTTCTAAAGGAGAATGTGATACAGTGAATACTTTCAACTCTTTTAGCAAACCATAAATTAAGTAGTCTGTATAGTATGTACCAGGTAAATGTAAACCATATCATGTGATAATAAAGGGCAGAAAAATGAGACTAGATAGCTAATTTGTGAATCTAAGAGTACATAGAATATTACTGAACGTTTAAGTAATACTTCCTGAGAGAATGGGTCAGTCGGCTAACAGTATATTTTTATTAGACATATACCACAAATGACTTTTAAAAATTTATTTTCCAAAAAAAAAATAAAAAAAAATAAAAAAAAATTATTTTCCTGTTATTCAGCAGGTAGTTGTGGAGCTATCTGCCACACATACTGTTGAAAATGGGAATTTATAATGACAAAACATATGTTTAATTCTGTTTTAGAGCTAAGAACATTCACTAATCCATCTCATATATATTTTTTTCTTAGGAACTGCGTTTTGTGAAAAAGGAACAAAGAAGAATTTTCTGCAAGGGTCATACTAAGTGCACTTTTTTGCTGATAACGTCATTTCTAGTAAGACGTCTTTCATTTTTCTATGTTATGAAGTAAACACAATGGAAATTTTTTCCTTTTTTAAAAATCAGACTGTCTTGTGAGCTTGAATATAATAGTATTTTTGGAGTTTATTTTGAGGTTTAATGTAGATTAAAGAAATTTATAAAGTCTACTTGGAGTGCCTTGTATACTGACAGTTTCTTACATATTTTGTCTGATGTTGCTAAGATAATCCTATTTCATCTTTCCCACTTCATCTTCCATATCAATTACCCTTATTTAAAAGAAAAAAGTCTAAAGTAAGTAGTCAGTATTTATTCTGATAATACATAGGTGAAAGGGTGGATTTGAGTACATGAAATAGACATAAGCTGAGAAAGATTTTCAAATGAAAGGTGATGTAGACAAATATTTCTTGAAATATCTTTGGAAGGGTCAGAGAAAAAAATTAAGCAGAGTTAAGAGATTTTTTTAAAATGTAGATTTATGTGTGTGTGTAACTTTGAATTTTCTACCTTAAATCCTAGGCCCATATTTGCAGAGCCCCGGAGTAGGCTGTTTGATTTAAAGACTTACATTGGTCTAGGTTAATGGTTCCAATTTGCAAGATATATAGTCCTCCTCAGAAGTTTTCATGACTGAAAACTTCATCTGAGTTTCTCCTTTTATTCAAAATGGAAAAGAAATTAATTATATTAGAGTATTTTGAATTAATATAATTTTGAAAAATATTAGGGAATAGTTTTTGGTGTATTTTAAATTAACATTTTAAATATTAGACATCACCGATCATGCCTGATGATTATATCAGTAAAAAGCTTGGGAGTAGTACTTGACTTTTTTTTTTTTTTGTATTTGTTTTAAGAATAGTTTTGCTATTTAACATAAAGTGTACATTTTTTTGAGTATTAAGCGGTATTAAAAACTTAGAAACTTAAATGAGTTCTTTGTTAAAGTATTTTATCTTGATACCAGTTTCTTTTTTAAATTTTTTTCTTTTTAAAATTTTCTTTCTTTTTTTGAGAGAGAGAGGAGGGGGAAAAGGAGGAAAAGGGGAGGGAGGTGTGGATGGGCAGAGGGAGAGGGAATCTTAAAGCTCCACGCCCAATGCAAAGCCCAATCCAGGGCTTGATCTCACAACCTTGAGATCATGATCTGAGCTGAAATCAAGAGTTGGGCACTTAACCGACTGATACCATCATATTTATCTTGTTATGTATTTATCTTGTTAAACTTTGACAGAGGAAGAGCCCATTTTCTGATATCTTTTAGTTTGGGGAACTAGGAGAACAGACATTATTTTTTCAATGAAAGCAAAGTATCCTTCAGTCCAGAACTTGTATAACACACAGGCAGGATGGGAATAATAGAGTCTAATTCACATTTTTAAATATAAACCTTGGTTAGTCTCCTGTAAATCTTTGATTTTTTTTTTTTAATCTTACTTACAGTTTTGTCTACTAATGGCTCAAAACTAAGTGATTCGAGTTACAGCATTGTCGGAATTTAACCATTCTGATGGCCAAAGTTGCAGAACTCTGCACCTTCTGTGAACCTCAGGGAAGGCTGTGGGCATAAGCTTCAACTGTTGTATTTTGGGTCCTGTTTAAACTTAAGGGAATCCTTTATGATGTTTCTTCAACTAGGCTCTCTGGATGTATACAGTGTCTTATTCTTCATGGCAGGCTTCTATGACTCTGAGGGTTGTGCTTGAGTTAATAACCACTTGCTTAGGAGTTACTTTGAGTACTTAGATGGGAAATGCTTTCCTTTTGAATGGATTCATATGTTGACTGAAGAGCTTCAGATTAGTTACCCCTATAATTCTGCCCTAATTTGGGTTTGAGATGGGGCAAAATTCTGGGCAAAAAGTTTTCTACCTTTTTTCCTTTCCCTTATGTCTTGGGAACTGCATTGGGCTCTTATATTTTAGGTCTGTGATCCACTTTTGAGTTAATTTTTGCATATAGTATGAGGGTAAGGGATAAGATTTATTTCTTTGCATACGAAAATCAGAATCTTCCAGAAGCATTTTTGAAAAGATTATATTTTTCCCTGTTGAATTACCATGGTACCTTTATTGAAAATCAACTTGCAATTATACGTGAGTCTTTTTTAGGGCTTTTTCATTTTATTGATCTGTGTATCTATTTCTGGCAATACTGCACTGTCTTGATTACTGTAGCTTTATTTATTTTTTTAAAGATTTTGTTTATTTATTCATGAGAGACACACAGAGAGAGAGGCAGAGACATACATAGGCAGAGGGAGAGAAGCAGGCTCCCGGTGGGGAGCTCAATGCGCAACTCAATCCCAGGACCCCGGGATCATGACCTGAGCTGAAGATGGACGCTTAACCACTGAGCCACCCAGGTGCCCCTCCTTCTATGTATTTTAGAATCAGCTTGTCAGTTTTTACAAAAAAGCTTAATGTTATTTCAATTGTGAATGCTTTTATCATAGAGACTACATTGGGGAGAATTGACCTGCTAAGAACATTGAGTCTTCTGATACATGAACTTGGTGCCTTTTTCTGTTTAAGTTGTCTTTAGTTCTTCTTAAAGTTTTGTTTTCAGTGTAAACGCATTGCACCTATTTTGTTAAGTTGATTCCTGTTTTGTATTTTTATGTTATTGTAAGTGGTAATGTAAAGAAAAATCAGTTTTCAGTTGTTTGTAGGCTTATAATGGATTTTTGTATTAAACTTTGTAATTTGTGATCCTGCCAAGCTCCTTATTAGTTCTAGTAAATTTCTTTTAAAGATTTATTTATTTTAGAGAGCGAGAAAGAAAGACAGGGTACGAGCAGGAGTAGCAGAGGGAGAGAGGGACAGACTCCATATGGAGTAATACCCATAACTGGATGTGGGGCTTCATCTCATGATCCTGAGATCATGACCTGAGCTGAAACCAAGAGTCAAGATACTTAACCACTGGCACCACCCGGGTTCCCTGTTCCAGTGACATTTTTTATAGTCCTTCAAATGTTTATTTTTATTTTTTATTTTATTTTTAAGATTTTTTTATTCATGAGAGACAGAGAGAGAGAGAGAGAGAGGCAGAGACACAGGCAGAGGGAGAAGCAGGCTCCATGCATCCATGCCTGATGTGGGACTCGATCCCAGGACTCCAGCATCATGCCCTGGGCTAAAGGCAGGCGCTAAACTGCTGAGCCAACCAGGGATCCCCAGTCCTTCAGATGTTTTATGTAGACCATCATCTTGTCTGTGAATAAAGGCTCCTTTAAATTTTTTATCTTTTTTTTTTTTTTTTTTTTTTGCTTTATTGCAGTAGTAGTCCCAATGCAATGTTGAATAGGAATGATGAGCTGACATTCTTGACTTATTCCTGATGTTAGGTCAAAAACATTCAGTTTTTTGGGGATCCCTGGGTGGCGCAGTGGTTTGGCGCCTGCCTTTGGCCTAGGGCGCGATCCTGGAGACCCGGGATCGAATCCCACGTCAGGCTCCCGGTGCATGGAGCCTGCTTCTCCCTCTGCCTGTGTCTCTGCCTCTCCTCTCTCTCTGTGACTATCATAAATACATTAAAAAAAAATTCAGTTTTTCACCAGTAAGTATGATGTTAACTATAGATTTTTAACAGATACCTTTTCTGAGATTGAATTCTATTCATAGCTTGCTGAGAATTTTTTTTCTTATTATGAGTGGTTATTGATTTTTTTACCAGTTTTTCCACATCTGTTGAATGATCACATTTTCCCCCCTCTTATCTGTTAATATAGTTAGCTACATTGATTTTTTTTTTTTTGAGTATCAAACCAAGGAATCTTGCATTTTTGAGATAGTTTGTACTTGGTCATGACTTTGTTATACTTTATATATTAAAGTGTACACTTTATATATTTCATCATTGCTTATAGTAGGTATTGGTTTGTAGTTTTACTACAATGTTTTATCTGTTTTTTTTTTTTAAAGATTTTATTTACTTATTTATGACATAGCAGAGGGAGAAGTAGGCTCCCCACAAGGAGCCTGATGTGGGACTCTATTCTGGACCCTGGGATCATGCCCTGAGCCGAAGGGCTCATGCTCAACTGCTGAGCCACCCAGGTGTCACTTTGTCTGGTTTTTGTATCTGGATAACAGAGTGAGTTGGAAAGATTTCTTATTTTGGAAAAGTTTCCATGTGTTTGGTGTTACTGCTTCTTTAATTGGTAGAATTCCATAATGAAGACCTCTGTGTTTGGAGTTTCTTTGTGGGAAGGTTTTAGACTATGAACTCAATTTCTTGGATTTGGGCAATTCAGATTTATAGTACTTCTTCTTGAATAACTTTCAGTTGTTTGTGTCTTTCAAGTAAATTTGTTCATTTCAGGTAAATTGCCTTATTTTTGGCATAAATTTGCATATTCTATTTTTTTGCTCTTTTTAATGTTCGAAGGATTTATAGTGATATCCCCTCTCTTGTTCTGGTATTAGAGATTTTCATTTTTCTAAAGGAGCAATTATTAAAATTTTCCTCTTCATTTTACAAAGTTTGTTTTGTGTTCATTTACATAGAGTTCAAAGAATTCTTAAATTCCTTTGTAATTTTTTTTGACCTATTGTCAAATATTTGGTTTTTAGATATATTTCTCTAATAAGTTTTTAATTATGTGGTGGTCCAAAAACATATTTTGTATATTTATTATAAAGTGCAGAATGTTGTCTTTGTCAGTGAATGTTTTGTATGCACTTAAGAATGTGTATTGTGCTGTTGTTGAGGTAGAACTTTCTAAAAATGTTAATTAGGTCAGATTGGGTGATAGTGTTTTTCAAAATTTATTCCTCTGATTTTCTCTTTGTTTCAGTAGTTGCTGAGAGAGGAGTGTGGAATCTTCAGTTTTAACTGGATTTGTCTGTTTTTCCTTTCACTTCTTGGTTCACGCATGCATTTTGGAGCTCTACTATTAGTTACATGCATATTTAATTTTCTACTATATTCTTAATGAATTGGGTTCTGTATCTTGAGATCGCCCTCTTTTATCCTTGATAAAATGTTGTGAAATCCTTTCTGAAA